AAAGACCTGCTGTCTCACGGCCAAAAAGAATTTCGAGTGATGGCAATGTATCTACATATATAAATGGGTCCTGGATGATAAGGCCATTTGAAGAGCAAACCTTGGAAAGGAATAGATTTGTGTATATAAGGAAGGTGCTCTTTGGAGTGGTGAGATGTGATACTTACTGATGGATATACATTTACACGACAAGACTTGTACAAGTGAGGAGCGTTCTGCCTGGACGGAGACCATTGAATCAAAAGGCAGTGGGATGATTGCATTTTGGCATAGACTGTATCAAGGACGGCAAGTGTTGCATATAGTGTTATATATGTATATTATGTATGTGTGTGAAGGCGCTTTTAACAAGCAACATTGTTTCCGAGTTGGTTTGATGACTGCTTTAGACAGTTCTTCTTCAACTTCATTTGGATACAATCATTGTCCCAATATTATCACTCATCAGCTTCCTGGCCAGGAAAAAAAGTATTAAGAGGGAGGATGGAATCACACTTTTCGCTGATGGAATAAGAAAAACACGTTGATTAAACAAATTGCCTTCTTATGGAAGGATGTGTTCAATAAACTTACCCTGAAAGTTGTTTCACGCCAAGCTGGATGTGCTTATCACCGGAACGGTGTTTTCTTTAGGATGAATTAATTGAATTTGAAAGATGAGAGATTTGCGAGGGAAAAGACCTTTCAAAGACAGAGACTTGGATAGAGGAAATGGGATCCTTAAACAATTAAAGCAGGAAGCCTTCATGAAGGAGGATGCTCTTTGAGGCTATCTCTCGAGAAGAAGACACCAGGAGAATGTTATAATATAAAAATGTTGTAGCAAAAACACCGGCTGAACAAAGATTAATAAGCCAGCTGTGATCAAGAGGGAAGTTCACCTACAGGAAGATACTTGCATGACGGAGGCAGCTTCAGCAACTCCTGGAAAAACTTGTAAGTTTGTATGGGAGCTGGCCAGCAAAATGCCTGTATACCCAACATAGAAAACAATAGAAAACAATGAATGACCTGTGTTCACGGCGTTCAGGAACACTGTTGTGGGGGTAGCTGAACCGCAAGAGCTCATGACCTGGATATTTCAAAGGGTTCTTTCAAGGACTCCTTGTTCCTTGGTTTGGTCTTTCTCCTTTTTGGGGGGGTTGTGTTTCCGTAAGTGGCATCTCACAAAGTTCCAACGCCGCAATGTGCCTCCTTCTGAAAGAAACTTACCAGCACTATCTCAGAACAGCCACAGGTGAAAAGCAGGTCAATAAGGAGCATATCGGAGATGGGCTGACCTTGGCCGACGATCCAGAGCAGGACCCTCAGGCTTGCCGCCAAATAATGCAAAACCAACTCATCAGTGTGTTCGGCAAAGGGTACCAACAGAGTGAAAAAGGGAGTGGTTCGTAACTCATTCAAGGACCCTCTCAACTTTTGTAGAAAAGAACACACGATCTCTGGTTGGTCTATCCATGTCCATCCTATTGGCTAAAAGGTTTGCGAAAAAGCCCGAAGCAGCTTATGCCCTCGAGGAGCATCTTGTGCACTGAGACACAATCGAGCAAATGTCATAAAGTAGCAAAGACATGAAAGGAAGCATGGTATGGAACTTTGAATTTCCCATGAGCGGGAGCATTTTTGGCTGCCGCTTTGGAAGGACCCCGCGTGTGAAGAGGCGCCGGGCTGGTCGGAGCCAGGCACCCAACATTCCATCCGCATTGAGAGGAAAGTGAAAACTGGCTAGAGAGGCTTGGCCGCTTCAGGTAAGTCCTGGATCCTGGTCCATAGTTTTCCCGCAGCTCAGGTATCGTTCTCAGCTGATGGCCTTGGTAGCCATCGAGTGGCAGGATGCTGCCGCCTTGGCCTACGTGCTGCCCCAAGGTTCTCAAAACGCACGTCTTTTGGCCCAGCAGCTGGTTCTCACAACGCATGGGCTGGTCCTCAAATGCGGCTGTTTTTTGGGGTGATCGAACTTCGGCAAGATGTGTAGAGTTACATATGACTCCATATTTGCCACCTCACGTTCCAATGCCTATTTGCTTTCAGACGTCTCCAAGGAGTGGATGAATTCTCGAGGCATGATGAAGATAAGCACTTAGCACAATTCATTGTGTTCTGAATGATTGACCAAACCTGGTGCAAGTTTGAAACTGTCAGCATCACCCCCGTGATCGAGGACAAAGATCATGGACGACGAAGCCAAACACTGCTTGCCTGGCGTTGTTGTTGCAGGCTGAGTTGCTGTGGAGTGCGACCCACTGTCGGCATGATCAAGAAGAAGTGTCGGTTTGTTGTTGTATGGTCAAGGCCTCTCTCCACCTCTTGGTGCCAGAGTCTTAAGCTTTGGTTAAGGAAACTGTCCTCGAAGGCAAGTTTGCGCACCCTCAAGGGTCGTTCAAGCAACTGATCCATCAAGGATCAATCATAATTGGCATAAGGTGCCACCTGTTGCAGTGTAATGTGCTGCTTTGAGCATTTGAGGCGCTTTTCCTTGGAAGCAGCCTCCTCAGCTACTAGTTATGCGATGGAATGAGCCCTTTGGCTTGGGTAGCATTGCAGCCCAGGAGGACGGCAGCTGGGAGTCCGCTGTGTACATGACCCGTTGTCTCAGCGGTTATGCGCGCCTTAGATGTGCAAGATGTTCTTTTCTTGCCGAACTTAGCTCTCATAGGAACACTTGTCAGCACCAGCTACACACGGGCGGCCTCATTGATACATCCCGAGGTCTAGTATGCATCCTGACAAGTTCGACCAGATCACCGCGAACGGAACACGATGGCCTGTGACAGCTCCAGCCTTGGACACGTCGCTGAGAGGACTCTCGCTGCTGTTTGAGACAATGTTTGCAGGTAGCCGAGATGGATTCCATTCGACGGAGGCTGGCCGTGGCTTCAGCCAACAGGCAGGCTTGGACAAAGTGCCGAAACCAGAGTGAACGTTTTGAACATATTCAAACGAGGTTTGGAGGATGTTCTAGTAAAGAGGATTAAAGAGGAGTATAGATCGGGATCACCGCACGCCCAGGACCACTACTTCGTGGAAGAATGAAGCTGGGGAGAGCCAGGGCCTTCAAACTACCAGATCAGTTGCAGGATTTGTTCCCTCAGATTCGACCAGCAGAGAGATCGATAATTCGATGATAATCCTGCAGGCTACGTTGGCAATGCCTTTACCATGATGGGGACAGACGAGGTAGAACCTGGCATCAGCATGAAGAATTCTGTGCGGGTGTACGTCTATGATGTGGAGGACCGGGATCAGTGTAGGGCAATAGCTGTAGTGGTCGCTGAAAATTGACTTTTGAAGGATTACTTTGAGCTCAGGGTGCTGGCGAGAGGAGCATCATTCTGTCGTTTGGAGCTTAGCCTGCAGTGAAGAGAGCTTGCAGCAGATATCCATCTGCAATTTTCACAATACTGTAGTGATTGTTATGACAACGCTGTGACACTTAAGGTTGGTTAACTATGACATGCTACGGCGGACTGAGGCGAGAACCAATGGGGCTTCGAAGTTGGCTTGCACGAGTGGTTCCTTGCATGTCCTTGCCGCACCGAAGATCCTTTGGAGGCCAGGATAAAATCCCAGGTTCTGCTAGTTGGAGGAATCAGCAATGCCAAGCAAAAGCCGGCTGCGCAGCAAGTGAATGGAAGATGAAGGAAGTAGTTGTGTAAGTGAAATCCTTTGTGTAGGCCCTGAGATGTTTCATTTTTGTGCAAAGGTTGCAGAGCAAAGCCATACTGGTAGCGGAGATTTGTATACACTGATTTGAAACCTTACGTCTAACAGCCGGCTACTTGCCGTCGTGAGGCAGGAGTATAAACCCAAAAGACGAAGAACATTAGTTTTGCTATTAAATGTTACTTCCATTTCTTCGTCCTTTTCTTCTTCCTCCTTCTTCTCCTGCTTCTTGTCTTTCTCCTTTTGCTTCTCCTCCTTTTGCAGCCACAACAACAATCACAACGCAAGCACAACACAAACAGTACCAGAATGTGCCAGATGTGCGTCCCGGCCCGTGCAGCATACTTAGTATCACAATTGCTTTCAAAGAGCCAAGCACAACATGTCCAAATATGTCCTACAAGCTGGATGGCGATGCCGGCGATGCTACAAAACACTGGTAAACGATGAACGAGGTCAGCAGCGCAAAAGAATACGGGCTTGTCATGGCCAGCGAATTTGTACAATAAAGGCACCTTGCAGCACAGGCTGCCAGCCCTGGTTCTCGTCACGGGATCTCATGAGGATGATTTCTTCTCTTTCAATCACCATCATTGTCTTGAGACTTCGCACCATGTGGTTAACCAGGACGCCTCCGAGAAAGTAGTAGTAAGTAGAAGTCGTGGCCCCAACCTGTCCTCAACTACTTTGTCCGCCCTACTACTACTACTCCTACTGCTACTGCTACTGCTACTGCTACTGCTACTCCTCCTACTGCTACTGCTACTGCTACTCTTACTACTGCTACTGCTGCTACTGCTTCTTTTACTACTACTACTACCACTACTACTACTACTACTACTACTACTACTACTCCTGCTGCTGCTGCTGCTGCTACTGCCACTGCTACTGCTACTGCTACTTCTACTGCTACTCCTACTACTCCTACTTCTACTCCTACTGCTACACTCCTACTGCTGCTGCTACAGCTACAGCTACTACTACTCCTCCTCCTACTGCTACTGCTAATGCCGCTGCTACTCCTCCCACTACTACTACTATTACTCTTACTCCTACTACTACTACTGCTACTACTACTACTTCTTACTCCTACTACTACTACTACTACCACCACTACTACTTCTATTTCTACCACTACCACTACTACTACTCCTACTTCTACTCCTACTGCTACTGCTACTTCTACTGCTACTCCTGCTACTGCTACTGCTACTGCTGCTACGGCTGCTGCTACTGCTACTCCTCCTACTACTACTACTACCACTACCACTACCACCACCACCACTACTACTACTACTACCACTACTACCACTACTACTACTACTACTTCTACTACTACTACTACTACTACTTCTACTTCTACTTCTACTTCTACCACCACCACCACCACGAGGACGACGACTACTACTACTACTACTACTTCGCTCTTTGCTGTTCATATGAGAAAACCTGAAACCGATAGAGGCCCACCCAACTCATCGGTGCCCTCCACGGGAAATAAGTAGTATTTTCCCACGCTAATATAATAGTTTTGGGCCTTGCAAAAAACAGTCTTCAGGGAGGCGTCGTTGACTTAAAACAATCTATGGGTCTTTGGGGGTGTTGCTCCAGGGGGTCAGGTGAGCCAACAGTGGTCTGTCACACACGTGCCCCTTCCCTCTCTTGCACATTGATCTCTTCTCGCTTTCAGAAAGGCGCGTCACTTAGAACAGCCCTTGAGCATTTGCCTATGCGGTTGACCCCCCTATAGTATATGAGCGCATGCCCTTTTCAACTGGATGAGTTTGATTTTTGGTCAATTTTTTTATGACTATTGATTTTGCAAGATAATGAGAAGCCTAAATCACTGCATTGCATTTGAGGTTATAGAACCAGACCTCTACTGGCGAAAAACACGGGTGTGTGACGTCTTGCTGTTGAGCCTTTGCTTCACAGATCACCAGCTGCAATGCCCATGGTTTTCATCAAGCCATGATGATGGCTGTCTTTGATAGCAATCCCATACGACCCATAACACGCAAGTATGAAGCAACATACATATAATCTTGACATACAAATACGACATAATACGACTACATAAATGAACTACATTTATATATAATGTATCATATACATACACATGATGCATGTTTATGTAAATATTCCTGCGGGCCCTGGAAGTGAGATCAGGGGACCATTGGAACTTGGCCCAGCATTCACCACCAAAGCCTCTGCAGCACGGCCAACGTACCGATCAAACCTCAAGTGTTCCTGAAACCTTCCATCACCCTTGTAGGAAACCTTGATGTATATATATATATTTTTTTATAATGGTGCAAGATCTGCAAGGGAAACCCTCCTGCGCGTTTGGCCAAGGGCTCCCAGGCCATTATGTGCCCCGACGCCACAAACCATCACCATCTAGAAGCCTTGTTGCCATCTCGCCCCAAGCCACAAATAGACTTGCTCGGAAAGCCTCTCATCCGCAAATGTCTCCACATAGCTTTTTCCCTTTGCCTTTCTCATTTCCTGGGCTTCCAAGAATTGATTCAGCCGAGAGAGTCAGTGGTTGGACCCTCTAAGCTGCTCTGAAAGGGTCTTTTTCTGAAGCCCTCGATAACCTCGATAGGTCAGTTGACCATATCTATATACAGAGGGCGGACCCTCCACCCCCACCTCATGGCAATGCCACCAATGAAGGCCTTGATGAACCCACTGCACCAATCCCAATATTCCACCAACCAACCCCAATCGCCGATCTTTTGGAGCGACCACGAAACTGGCCCGGTCACAGCCAAACCAGCGGCCAGACCCTGGCGGGCGTGTAGTCAGTGGTCTTCCTTGGGGCAACGTGTGCCCTCCAACAAACGAAGGTTTGGAACCTCCAGGATATTTCGGAACATGTGGGAACCATGCTTCATAAGCCTTTAGAAAGCACTTGTCCGCATTTGTTTTGGAGTGGGTTTTTTGTTGGAAATCAATTAGTTAACAGCCCACATGTACCATAAATATTGGTTGTATAAACCATCGGCAATAGGTGCTGCGCAGAACAGTGACTGGGATTCTCTCCAATCTTCCTTTCTCGATGGAGAAGGAGCAACACGAGTCACTGGATGCAAGTCTGTGGCCTATGTGAAAACCAATGAAAACGCACAACTTCCAGATGTCCAGGTCCACGAACCCAAGGGCAGGATCCGCTCACCCAACTAACCTTGCTCTCTCGCTCTACATCTGTGAGTTCACTTACGGGCAACTTCCAGATCCGACAACGGATATGATCCGTTAGGGGAATGTCGATGACCCCAAAGGCAGGATCTGCTAACGAATAATATCCGTTAGCGGATCTGGAAGTTGCTTGCTTTCACACAACCAATCTTGCTTTGTCTCTCTACATCTTTGAGTTTCTTGTTTCCCTACTTACAAAGCCAGCGCTTAGCCCATCCAAGTCAGCCTATCACGTTGTTCAACCCGCCGCGTGGCCCAAGACCAAGTTAGAAGCTCCCTTAAACCTGCCTTGGCGTAAACTTGATGGGAAGAAAGTGTTGGCCACAGATGGCCTCCGACATCTATATAGTTTGATTGACAAAGATGTTGCAATAGATTATAACATTCTATTTGGCAAATATTGTGACGTACAGTGTGACAACTCTATCTGAAACGATTTCCGACATGCTGTTTGACATTCCATTTGATACTCTATTTGGCGAACAGTTTGTTCTGTTTGGCAGGCATCCTGCGTTGTACCTTCTGGCATTCTATTTGCCATCTCTTCTGGCATATCTTCTGACATTCTTACGTGCATTCCATAGGCGCCAGTCCAGAAAATCATTCTGCCAAATTATTTGGCGAGAGCTGTTAGAGAGGTGGGAGGTGCCAGAGCTTCGGTGGTGTGTGAAGATACTGGAGAGGTGCATTTTGGCTGGGAGGATGCAAAATCAGGTATTTGTTCTGGCGTTCATTCTTGTCAACAAAATGTCCAATTGACATTCTTGGCAATCTATCTTGCATTTCAGACATGACATTCAATCTGGCATTTGTTATTCTGTTGGGCGCTGAAGATGGGGTGCTGACAGGGAGGGGGTGGAGATGAGCACCTCTCCAGCACCTCCCCAGCGCCTCGCGCCTGTCCAACACCTCCGCAGCATCTCTCCAGCGCCTCTCAGCAGCACCTTTGCAGCTCCATGTTTTTTGAGCACCTCCCACGCTGGGGAGGCGCTGGAGAAGTCCTAGAGAGGTGCGGTGCTGCTAAAGAGTGCTGCTGGGTGGGCGATCCAAGCCCCCAGCAAGGGGCGTGGATGATGGGGCGAAAAAGACGATCCTATGCGTGATGTGTGGATGTGCTGCGGGTGGAACAATTGAGATTTCCAAGTGTTTGTGTGTTGTGAAAAGTAGCAAAGTACTCAGGTGTAGATAGTTTGCTGATGCCAAGGATCCAACACTTTCATGGCATACCCACGGCTGTCTTAGAAGGCAGCCCAAGCCACCCCCCTTTCCTCCACCCCACCCTCTAAGTAGTCGTGGGGATCGCCCAATTTTCTTGGGGGCATTTCGGGGGAGCCTTATTAACATCAAGTGGCTCGACATAGGTACCGTTTGGATTCCACACGTTTTTTCTACACTCATTTTGGCCAAATTTGGTGGTTTGGGTTGGTGGTTTGCTATTCTGCCAGATGTGGCTTTCTAAAAGACACTATTTGTTGACGTGTGGTAATTTTACTGATTCAAACTTGAATCATTAACAAAACTGCTGGTTGCTGTGCTGCTGCTGGGAGGCGTGCAGTTGCTGAACATTTACAGGCAACATGGTAACATGATGGCATGTTGTGTATGGTTCCATTGCACTCAATGTTTTTTTGCGTGTATGTATTTCAACTGCCAGCTTAATGAACCCAGCGTGCCTCAAGCACTAA